AGTGAGAAATTGTCTTAATTGATGCGGTTACCTTCGACACTTATTAATAATGGTCTGGAAACTCGTCCTGAAATTTCGCTGTGATATAAACCAAGTAAAGTCCAGTTGCTGATAAATTTTATTTCAGTGCCACTGTAGCGTAAATTTGTGCTGTATGTGTTCACCTTGATGCACCGAATGAGAAGTCGTGGGTATAGGGCTTATCTCTGGACTCCAGCGAAGCGTGCATGTTATCGATGATGTAGCACTGATCGGACAATTTTTATATATAATCCGATGACATTGTTGTTTACTGCAGGGAGAAAAAGAGGTTTTCACGATTTGGATGGTAGAAAAAGTCGCCTTATTTCGAAACCAGGCCGTGTCTATGAACTTTTTTCACTTGACGGATGAAAAGTTGCACAATCACGACCTTCACTTGGGTACACGTGTAATTTTTAGAGATGCTGTAGCCTCCAAATCATCTGAATAAAAAGATAAAAGAAATTGGCAATTGAAAACGGAACTACTACCAAATTTGTGCATGTATTTCTCAGTCCGTAAACATTTTAGTATTAGCTGTGTATTTCGTTTTTTGAAGTAAATATGGTTTCGCAAAAATTATTGCTCTGCTCAAATTACCGATTATATGCGCTGGTGTAATTGGAAACCTGATGCTGAACTTCTAGATCTAGTTAAATTTTTAAAATTGGACAACTTTTCCAATTCCTAAGTAGTTATCCAATTGTTTTTCTGATCATTTATTTAACTGTTTTAATGATCCATTATATATCTAACTATTGTAAAATCAACTGCAGACATTTGCTTCGTTACATTAATGGCAAAACCAGGGTCCTGCCCCATGACCTTACCTCTTGTAACGAGGATTCTAATGAAATTCGATTATAGAATTCAATGCAATTAAACGTCAGATCGTATCTCCTAAAATTTCCTTCACTTTTCAGATCAAGTTACTCGTTTTCCGACAATTCAACTTTAAATTAAGGGCACCAATTATTTTCTTCAAGTTTTTCCAGCATTTATCCTGCGATGCCCGCTCGTACAATTCGTTTCCCGACGGTTGATTACAAGATAATAGCCGCACCTTGTCTCCCAATTAACCCAAGGTGTTTTAGTTCCCACCATAACAGTCCCCATGCTGCTCACAGCAGATTTTTATCTACAGGAATGATCAAAAAAAAAATGTATTCGTGTTAACCTGATTTCGTGTTGAATTTGCACACTTCTCAAGTAAATCTCAAGCATAGTTTAAAAAAGTCATAAAATGCAACCGTTGCTTAACTCACTTAGCTAACACTAATCTTATCTTCGGCCTCGGCTGCAAAAGGTTCGTTCTTCTCGTACGAATTAATGCAAAGTCATCCTCGCCCCGCTGGGGTTGGTGGCTATCGCTTCCTTGTCGCGTCCGATCTTTTGCGAAGACTCGTGAACTCGTTAGCGCCTGTAGAGGACCCCCCTTCTGCGGCGTTGTGTGTTCTCAGCGCCCCAGCATTGTCTTCCGCTTGTACTTGTGCCATCTGCTTCAATGCGCGGTTAACATCTCTAGATGGTCACGCATGACACGTTTGTCTGTGCCATTGAGTGGAGCAATAGTAAGCATAAACAGTATTGTTAGTCCAATTTTTCATAACTAACGTTTTAGCTGATAGTAAAATTGTCACAATTTAGAATAAACAACAATTTTAAGAAAATATGGTGTAACGGTAAGGTTGTGCACACATTTTAGTAGATTCGCAATTAAAAAGGAAATATCATTCTGAGAAAAGGACGAATTTTGTCACTAAATGTTTGAGCTTCTATTATAGGTATTGATAATATTATATTGTGCAACTCGATCCATTAAACATCTGACTACATCATTGACATAGTGAACTAAAATACTTACTAAACACCTGAATGATCATCAATGTGTAACGAATTCATTCTTCGATTAGATGGAAATTCATGTATAATTCATATAGATTGTTGCAAGTGAAGCAAGGAGTCGACATCAACAGACTTGCATGTTCCCTTGTGCAAAGGCAGCTGAGACTCCAGATTAATGAAGTAGAAGGTGTCGTGCTGCTGGACTTTTGTTCGATGACGAGGAAAATTAATGAACTGTGAAGATCAATATAATTGATGATTTCTTATTCTTCCAAGCGAACCTGTTTGGAAAACGTGGTTCACTTCTGGAATGTGTACCTTGAAAAACGAAGACGAGATTGATCGTTTTCGAAACTTGATTTCGTCATGCCAATATCTAATAAATTTACTGGACTATTAATGTCTTTTTTGTCTTCTGTTCACGACCATCATCGTGATCTTTAATGGAGTTAGGTAATCATGCCCTAATTATGTTGGCTTACTTAAATCATTCTATTAAATCATTCTATTCGTACTCGTTTTTAATACCGATGGTCACGGAAGATCTTTTGTACTAATCTATTAGACTCGACATGCATTGGTTTTTCAAGTTTCGCATCTGTGCTATTTTTGCCAACCATATATATATATATATATATATCATATTCTTATAATATTCCTTAATAGTTAGAATTAACCCTCCAAATAGCTCACGGATCGAGGCCGAATCGCTGTGCCCAGTAGATAATGCATTTAATTCTTAGACTCTCTTTTTCCCACGAAGGCTCGCAACCTTTTGCCTTTTTAGGCAAAGCCGAGCAAGCCTCCCAAGGTCGAGCTAAACGTACGTCACGAATCACAATCTCAGTTAAAGTTCATCACGACGTCAAAATGCGAGACGCGGGATCGTCAGCGCCGTGAGTTCTTTAATAATCTCGAAGTTCTCACGAATTATTTAGTTTTGTTTCTCTAGTGCATCAATACTACTGCGTGACTGTTACCTGCATCAGTACTTTATTATATTTAATTGCCATATTTCTCAAAAAGCGTGTCATAACCTGGGTTCACGCTAGGAATTTTTTGTGCATCGTTGTCAATGAGACGTCGCTCTCGTGCTAATTAGAATTCCGTCATGTGGATACATCATTTTGGCGTTATTTTTGTATGTAATTACTAAGCTGTCATTTCCATGACAAGTGTTATTTGTCTCTGAATTATTTCTGTGGCTTGTTATAAGAACACGTCCGGCACGACTGACGCTCGTCAGGAGGACCAGGGTCGTTGTCAGCGGAAGAGCTTCTCATGAAAAATAATATTGACAGTTTTTTTGTGCCTAAATGTTTGAGATTTGCGTGCAATGTAATCGAATATTCGGTGCGTTTTTTACACACTGTGTTCTGATTAATGGTATGAAATTTAGGTCATTAAAGCGCCAAAATGCATACAATAAATTTCGTATTGATCGTGACGAAAAAAAATTTTACGGAATTTTTTTGCATGTCTTTTGTTAACCGACCGGAATTTGTATATTCCATAAATTTACTAAATTGATGGATATTTCAACTTGAATAAATTCACTCATCGATCTCGATGTTCATGATTATGTTCCGTATATTGAATAAAGTATGAATTAATTAGACATTTTCTCGTTACTGTCAACCTGTTCACGTTTCAGAACTTGTTGCTCAATCAAGGCACTCGGGTTACATTCAAAATTCATTTAAAGATTCTTTAGCTGGGTCACTTCAACACAATTTTTTTAATTTTTAAGCTTAAACGTGAGCGCTTTTTAGGATCCTTCCATACTGCGAGTTTAGCTCTCCTACATAGCTTGGCTCGTAGATTTTAACATACGTTCTCATTAGCGCCTCAGATATAATTCTCGTTAGTCATGCAGATATAGTTCTCATTATTCATGCAGAGATCATTCTCATTACTCACACAGAGATCATTCTCGTTGGTCATGCAGAGATCATTCTCGTTGGTCATGCAGAGATCATTCTCGTTGGTCATGCAGAGATCATTCCCGTTGGTCATGCAGAGATCATTCTCGTTGGTCATGCAGAGATCATTCTCGTTGGTCATGCTGAGATCATTCTCGTTGGTCATGCAGAGATCATTCTCATTACTCACACAGAGACCATTCTCGTTGGTCATGCTGAGATCGCCTTGTTGTGTATTAAGGTGTCTTGCTTAGCTCGATACGTCGATGGCTTCTTTTTCCTTCCGGTGCGTTCATGTTGAATTGATCGATAGCTACGCATGCTAAATTTTTCGTGACAGAAAAACTTTGACACTTTCATGTTACAGAAATTTTAATTTATCAAGAATATCTTCTCTAAATGTTGATTTAATGATTGATAAATATGTTTTATAGCCTCTACTATTTTCGCAAGTATGTAATTGGATCTCGGCCAATAAATGTATTCAGGTTAACGTTAAATACAACATAACAGGCTGTTTGGTTCATGCTTTTGTAATGTTTCTTAAATACAATACCACAGAGAACTTATTGTTTACTCAGTCAATTGCCAGCATTAAAATAACTGACACCCGTACAAAAGGATTGCTTTCTGATGTTCGAATTTCAGCTTCAAACGCTCATCAATAAATCATTAACTCTTTACTACAAATGATGGTGGATTTGTCATCATTTCTAGAACGGCTTTTCATCTTGGATTGCGAAATACGCCCGTGAGTGAAGGGCAAATTACTAAACTCATTTCTTGATCTTAAAAAAATAATTTAATAAGAAATATCCTTCAAAACTACGGCTCTTAAATTGAAATCGTGACATCGTTTCAGCGAAGCTCCCTCGTCGGAGTCACTTTCTGTGAACTAATTCAATATCTCGTATTTTGTGTTCATTCGATGATGCGCCTGAAATATTTTCAATATCATAGTAGGCGCTTTTTCAAAATTAAGCGTTCTCTAGGGGTAAAATGTCCTCCCATTTGTTTAAAAGTTGATTACTTTGTTGTCGTGTGCTGTTATATTTTAAATCTTGATATTGGCAAGCTGTATAATTCCAAAATTAAAGCCCATATTTACCTAGATCAGTAATGATGTTGGGTAAAAATTCATTTCTTTCCATTGCGGATGACGTGGTAGAAGGCGAGCAGAAAAAAAGACATTGAAAATATATATTTATTTTATTTTAAATGGCTGTGAAAACCAGTCGTACAATTGATATGTCTACATTCTTCTACGTGTAAGCACATTCATCGCTATAAAAAAGGGAGACCTCTCGTTACAAATATTTCTGGTATTTCACCTCCTGCATTTACGTTGTATACTTTATTGTTGTACTCATTATTCTCACTAAAATCCTATGATTTAATGGTAACTAATAGCTACGCGAATATTAAAACCAGACTGACAGATACTCCCTCGAGTATAAATTATACTGCACGTAAATTTAATATTTACGATTTAATTTCTTCAAATTGAGCCTCTTGCCTAGAACTGTCCCTCACGTGATCACTACACGTGAATAATGGCATTTCTTCATGTTTGCTTCATAACGAAATATTTGCCGACCAATTGTCAGTGAGTTCTGAAGGAAAAATATATTTTTTCTTTCTCTTTGATCACAGACTCGATCCAAATTAGTCACGTACTCTAATTAAAGAAACCACTATAAGTCATCATCTTAGATGATCTACTAGCCTATTATTTTTTTGAGGATTTGCCCTTTCCATTTCCTCTTGCCCTCCTGACGACGAGCAGACTTGGGACACCACAACGCTACATTCCACCAATGGATTTTCAGTAGTATTTTTTTGCTCGTCCTTAGTTGCCATTTGTCCCTTTATTGAGTTTTCGGGTGCTTTTGACTCGTGCTCTTTGTTGAGACAGCTTCCAGATGTATCCTTTAAATGTAGAGTTTCATCATTGGACATTGGAAAAAAATTGTTGGGGCCAGAAATGTTGTGAAAAATTTCTAAGGGAGTGCCCGTGATTGCATAAGCTTTCAGTGCATCGGCACTGATCCCGTAAATTTTTTCGTAATCATCGAATATTTTAGAAAATGTTGTTGCCTGGCATGCTTTTGCTTGCATTTGAACAAGGAGCGGTAGATGTGACGCATCCGGAGAGGCGCGTAAAGAAGGCGGTAGTGTTGAACAAGAAGCGTCAGTGTCCAAAACATGCGTACTCCCTTCTTTCCGTACGAAAGGTCTGTGAACATTTTCAGTTGGTTCTAAACAGACAGATTGTTGCTGCAATTCTTGTAAAGTATAGTTTAAATCAGGTCTAGTTAGTGATCTGGGCAATGGGATACTCGTGGCATCAATCGAATTATGGTTGAAGTCGCTCCAACTTTTACATTTCATGAAACTTTCTTCAGATGTTGATGAAGTACCATCGTTCATTAATTCGGCATTTGTATCATCTTGTGAATCTTTTTGATAATCATTTTTTAGTGATGGAACAGAATAGCAGTTGCGTTCGTTTACAAATGAAGGCACATTTTTTAAACCCATGGGCCCCACCGAGACTGGGCCATGGATGCCCGTCGAATCGCGAGTTTCTTTTCTTATAGAAAGATCAATCGGCTCCTCTTGGTGGCTAGCGAGGACTTCGGTTCGTTGTTGAGGAAAGCCCGTGTAAGATTTCTGTGTATAGGTTTGAAATTCAGTTCGCTTATTTAATGACAATGGCATTTCAAAATCACACTCTCGCTTCGATGACCGAATACCAAAAAATTTATTTCTAGTCGAAGACTCTAAATACCCCAGGTAAGTTTCCATTGCAGTATGTAACTCTTCCTTAGCTCTACAGGCACTCCCGCTTCCGAAAATTCGATGGAATGTTTCCATGGGAGACAATTGTGTGTCCGTTACTTGATTATCTGATTGTTGGTTTCTACAATCCATAATTATTGGAGTTTTCAACTTGAACTCGCTTGCTGTCGATGTGGATGGATGTATTTTTTCTAAAAATTCAGGTAACAAGGAAGTCGACGAATGGAAATTCTGGTAAGAAGCCGCCTGAGCTAAAAATTGAAGTGATAGCGAGGCGTTCGGAAAATTAGAATCTGAAGGAACAAACAAAGGCCAGTGGTTTTTAGAGGCACTGTTGAAAATATCAAATTTATTGCATCGTGAATTAGACGATGTGCTCGGGCTGATAATGCTTAATTCTGGCGACTGCGAAGCCGGGTTGTCGTTTCCAACAATCTTCCTTGTAATAGTTACGGATTCTTCCATTTTAGGATTCGACGCTATCTCGACGTCAGACTGTCTCACTTTCTCTAAACTAGTCGGGCTTTCAAGTTCTACATTTGACTCTCGCTTAATTTCTTTTTTGGTTATCGTTAGCACCGGCTCTTCATGAGCGTCGTGTCCAATTTCGTTCCTCGTATTTTTAGCGTGGCTGTTGGCGTTCAACTTAGTCGCTATTGGAGTGAATGTGTCAGAAGAAGGAGGCTGATCTTGGAGCAAACAGTGGATTTTGAACCAATTCGACCGCCTACCATACCTGTAAATAAAAAAAGGTTTTATTCAGTTATGTCAAAGTGAGAAATGGCATTTTCCGTAAATAGTCTTATAAACATCGGCGGTTAATCCGTCCTTTAACGGTTTTGCTGTTCTTGAATTATTGTGATAATAAAGAACTTCCTCCTACATACTTTTTTCCCGGGTGCGCAGTTCGGCATGTAAAATCAATTGACTGAAAAACAATTGATTGACTGCATGGCTGATTATTCAAGATATTAGAGCCTCTTTTATTATCTCACATCTTGAACTTTGTGACCCCGTCGCGGGCGATAGTCACCGGAAACTCCGTGCTATCTAGGCCAACAATTCATATTTGTACTGTCAGACAACTCCAACACCCTCTGTTTAGTCGAGACCAACATTATGCGTTCTTTATGTGTCTGTACTTGCATTTTCAAGCTAATTTCCTCGAAGCCGACCACTTCTGAGATGTCATGCAATTCTTTACGCGAGTAAACACATGAAATGTCGACATGAATGGAACAAGCTGATATTTTAGGTCACTCTGCTGCCACTGAATTTCAGTTCTAGATCATTTTTCCAACGCTCATTATGAGATGTAAGGTCTTTTCAGGACTACTTAATTACGTCGTTATGTCATTATTTCCTAGTTGTTACTTTTAGTTCTACTTCCATCCGCCAACTTCTTGTCAGATGTTAAGTTTGCTCTATTCAATGAACATAATTCAAAAATTTTCCCTAAGTCCGACCATTTTCTAAGAATTTTCTGCCCCTTATGTCACTTTTAGGGCGCAATCCATCGCGGAATAATTTTTGTGTGGGTAGTGCTAGAAGACTTGTTGATTTTGCCTACCTTGAGCCACTCTTGGACATGCCGGCTTTGATGCACTGCCTCAACCGACAGCTCTTGCACGTCGTTCTGTTCTTCTTGGTGATGACGCAGCGGCCGCCGCTCTTGCACTCCGACAGAGACGTCACACTATTGTACGAGCGTCCGAAAAACGACTGACGAATGAAAACATAACAAGATAAGAGATAAAAAAATGATAATTCAAATTAATCTCATTACGACCTAAATCTTACTCGAGTAAACTACGGTCGTATTTTCATTAATTACAACAAAATTACGCATCTTATTAATATTATACAATGACATTCCATTTCAATCATTTGCCCGTCGCCCTGAGAGCACAAATATTGCCGCAACCTCTGGAGTTCGCTCGGCACAGCGGCTGTCCTTCAGTATTTTATCTGCAGGATTTTTGTGTGGAGGTCACGCGCGATATTCTAGGCATGGCTAAGATTCCAGCCGCTGGTGTTTGGGATGACAGTTCATTTCAAGTGAATGTGCTGGTCATGAGGATACGAAGGCATTTAGAAATTTCTATTCGGTATTATTAAAAATTTAATGGCTATTATTCGCGATGTTATTAATATTTATTTAATTATATTTAAGCATTAATCAGTTTTTGAGAGTTGTATGCATGCACTGCCAAAATAAGATAACTTGAAGTGTTTTCTTAATGTCGGAAATTGGCTCCAGTGTATTTAAACCTTATATGTAACGAATTTAAATCCAAATGCGAGCAGGTTAACACTTGAATAATTTTATAAAGCCAAATATTTAATTACGGATACAATCAACATAAGTCAAAATATAGTACATAAGAGCAACTTATTATCCAACTAATCAAGGCGCTGCAGGATCACTTATATCAGTTCATAAAATCTTGTTAATTTTGATGGCAATTTTCCTAATCGATTAACTTAGCAGCCAAACTGCCCTGCCATACCTTGCAGCCTTCGCACGTGAAGGCTCCAAAATGGAAGCCTGCGGCCGCTTCTCCACACACTCTGCACCACTGCTGCATGTTGGTGGTGATGGTGGTGATGTGTGGTGCAGGTGTGGAGGTGGTGGTGATGTGTGATGCAGGTGTAGAAGTTGTGGTGATGTGTGATGCAGGTGTGGAGGTGGTGGTGATGTGTGATGCAGGTGTAGATGTAGAAGTAATGTGTGATGCAGGTGTAGATGTAGAAGTGATGTGTGATGCAGGTGTAAAGGTAGTGGTGCAAACGCTCCTTGGTGATGAATGTAGCACTATGTGATGATTGCAGCACTACAGTCGTTGATGATGTCTTAAAATCTCCTGCATGGGTAGTGAAGGAGATGAAGGCGATTTCGTGATCTTGCTCGTGACGTGATGCTTGTGGTGATATTATTTTAGTTGTGACGCGATGCTGGTGGTGACGTGATAATGGTGGTGACGTAATAATGGTGGTGACTTAATACTGGCTATGTAAGTGTTGTTGGTGATGTGCAGATGTTGGAGACGTGGTGATGGTGGTGATGTATATTCAGTGGAGTCCTCTCGAAGACTGGATTACTGAGAACCAAGTTCACCTGTTGAGAAATGGATGGATTATTAGTAACTCTTCCGTGAAAGTTATTTGCATGCTCATTGGAATTTCTGAATTTTCGATAGCACTGATGTGCGGGTCCTCTTAACGCGAATAACAAATTATTAAATAGAAATTTACACTTTACAGAACATTTTAACCTCAGTTGTCAGTTTATTTTGGAGACAGGAAATTTCCGTAACTAGAACTTGGAAACCTAAAGAATTTGAGTTTTGTTCAAATAATTGGGTTGTAATGTGATCTACACAATTGGATGGTTGAATGCTCAAATAAAAGGTGCAAGAAAGTGAAAGTCCCATAACACAAGAAGATAGTGAAGGTCATAAAAATTGTATCGTATGGGAGTAATTTTCCACTCTAGGAAAATTTATTTTCTCGATAAGTAAATGCCATAAAATTTCAAAAGCCTGGATCATAGGCTACATTAATACGGCAAAATAAAGAGCCGAAAGTACAATATGCAACTCGCATGGCACCGATATCGTGCTAGATACACTCGCTTATTCTTGTTGTACAAGCTCTCCTACAAGAAACTATTGAGCTCTTCGGCACTCGTATGCTACCCGCACACGACGCAACTTTTCGCTGCCCAACTCCAGAACTGGGAGACAATTTTGTTACCTACATGAGATTTAGAGACATCCTATATAGATACCGGTGTCTCCTGAATGCCGGTGATTCCAGAGGCTTCTTAAATGCTTCTAAATATTTGATTTTTCTGTTATCTTGAAGTAGCCATTTCTAACCGCTTTACTCCATTTTATGACGTGCATAGATATATTCGAGGAATCCGTTGAAGTTTCCATGAGGATCTCTTGGTGAGTAAGGAATTGTTTAGCCATCACTATGTACGTAAATGGAATAATTCGCTCGCTTAACCATCGCTTGTTCTTATCCTGTCATCCTTCGATGATTTACAAAAAACTTAAATACTTCTATTGCTCAAACATGTCGACGGGTAGAAACTACTACGTCGCTATGTACGAGTATGTTAAAATTAGAATCCAAATACCATGCAATGCGTGTTACGCGCTGTATTTCGTGCGCTGATGGGTGCAACACGGCATGGGTGTACCCAGCTAACTTATTCGAGTCAAGGCCAGAAGCCTGAGCAGCGTATAACGTTCCTCTGTATCCTTGCTGCTCATCACAGCGATCACGGCTTGTTGCGAACCTCCAAACCGCTTTTGTTTCACGGGAGACAAACGCTCGTTCTAGGTGCTCGAGCGAGGTCGCCTTATTCATGCCTGCATTCGCGCTCTTAATCTCCTGGTGAACATCGCATCAGCATTCACTCTATAATAGACGCTATAATACTCGCTTTTTATTTTCAAGATTTTTACTGCAACTCTGCATTTCCTGTCATTGCTTAATTCGCCCTTCAGATGACGTCCTTTGAGAACAATTATACCGACCAAGTGAAAACCTCGGATTTTCGTGGCGAGAAATCTTTGTAGGCCATATCTGTTCTTCTAGCACGCCTTCTTCTGCTTCTAGAACCACCCACGAGCTCTCCATATTCTAGAACCACTTACGTTTTATTAGATTTCTCAAGGTGAAAATTCTTTATTATTCACATACATTCAACTGTTCTCGATCCTTCGACCTTGGCACTCTATAAGAACCGTCGCCCTACAGCAGAGCCCGCGTCTAGGATATTGGAGGCAATCCTGCGCGTATTGTTGTCTTATCCGACGAGGGTCGATTAAATTCACGCCACGTCATTGTTATTGCAATAATAATGTCATATTTTTCAGTTATTCTCGTGCGAATTAAATACCATCATATAGATTCACTCTCACCTTTGCCGCAACACCGCTGCTGCGGCTGCGAGTTTGGTTGCTGCTGCTGCTATAGCGAACTGCTTGCTTTAAATGGTGCTTTGATATGGCTGCTCCTAATTTTTAATGATGATGATGTTGATGTTTGTTGTCCCACAAATGATATAGATTAAAACTGTTGATGAATGGTGTAAATTTGAAACTGGATACTATGCAATTTCTGTTTCTACTATGGATTAAATAGAAATGATGGTATACGGTGGTTTTCATGAGTTCGATATTTATAAAGTGGAAAGCACGAATATTATGAATCAAATTATATGTATTGATAACGACAAAATATCTTTTTCATGAATATTCTTCGACAGGTTACAGCATCGAACATCGCATTCATTCCATTTTAACCCAGCCAAGAATAATAGAATTCGTATAATTCACATTTTAGTTTCACTCCCTTCATGAAGCTGGTATTTATGCCATAAAAAAGCCGCTAACGATGAAATTATCATAACGATGGCAAATGATGATCTTTGAACTGAATGGATTGGGCCAGCATCCTTGGCGCGACTGAGCGATGTCATGCAATGACGGCTTAAATGTAGAGACCGACATCGAAGTGTTATTCGCGTCTTCCATAGACGTGACCTGTATTGAGCTTTTATGGACTTCCTTAAGGGATGTTCAAGCAGTGTTGTGAGCATTCATTCAACATGTTAATGATCTGGGCTAACCTCAATAGCTGTTAAACATGAAAGCCTCGATATCAGTTTGAACCCTATTGAAATATAAAGCCAAATCGGCGCCCAGCGACTGTTGGCCCGTCATCGGTCGGCCAAAATGCAATGCATACTCGACGATGCTGCAAATTGATTCTTCGGCTCGACATCTGCGGTGAAGATTTGAACAATTTCAATCAATTTCAGAGGGTGCGCAATGATGATTGCTCGCTTAAATGCCAATTATGATGCGAATCAAATTATGCATTTAGGCCTGAGCAAGAAAATCGTGGCGATAGCGATCATGAAGATGAATGGAATCGACACCGCAATGAATGCCTTCGAGCAGCTCAGAATTTCATCGTGTCAGAAAATATTAATAATCGTGCCTTTCCAATCTAAAGTCTAGGCTTTCCATTCACTGGACTAGGAGAATCTTGGACGTGACTTTAATTTTATTTATCCCGAAATTTTCGCTACCAGCTAGCCTAATAATACTGATAATTATTTCGAGTGACCGAGTGTAATGTCCCATTTAAAAATTTTAGCAATAGTTATTAAATTTAAACTCTTATGTAATTACGTTCCATGTGAATAATTCATTTTAAAAGAAGGTTGATATGTTTATTAGTTTGTATGCAAAATCTTGTTCATTGTTCAATTTTTTCCAAATATATTTATCCATACTGATAATTGATCTAATTATCTAATTAAAACCTGTCATCATATAATTACGTGATTTGTTTTGAAGCCGCAATGCTTGCACCAACGAGGCTTCTGTTCCAAAATGTGACATTTTGTCAGTCGCGCAATGCGGGACCGTGCGATGCGGTAAAAATTATCGGGATTTTTTTACGAAAATCCATTATAGATGATCGCTCGTTTGACCTCCGTTCATACGATCGAGGAGCTCTTCTTCCGGCATTGCGTTTTGTGGCTCGCAATGACTTCATTGAAGTCTCCTTGCACAGGCCGACCATTAGGATGGCAACGCTGTAGGTTACAAGATTTAAATTTACATAATTTCCCTGCAGTTTACATCAATTAAATCATTCCCTTGCGTCATTTACATAATTTCCCCGTATCATTTCCCTGCATTTACTTTATTTTCCTTCATCATTTCTCTGCATTTACATCATTTCGCAGCATTCACTTTATTGCCCTGCATCATTCACATCATCTCTCTGCATCATTCACATCATCTCTCTACATCATTCACATCATTTCTCTGCAGTTCACATCATTACAATAATCTATCATGAAGGCTACTCTGCAGTGGCCGCACTTGCCACGCTCCAACGAGCTCTCTCACGCTCATCTCAGGAATATATCTTACTATTCGAACGCGTAAATTCTCGCTACGCGTTAATTAGATTGATTTGCTAGCTGACTTCTGCTCTTCCTTTTGATATTTTCTAAAATATGTTCTGCGATATCGCTCTTTATATAATTCCAACAAAGTTTTTGTTTGCGTCCTAAGGGCATTTCTTGTGATTCAATTGAATTTATTATATGCTTTAGTAGTTTATAGGTTTTGAATATATTTTATTCCTAATATTTAGTGAATATATATTATTTGGTTTTCTTTAATATTCAGTCTTTTAAATTTTCTTCTATCGCTCGACTTCAGTGGGACTATTGACTTTCCATTGCAGCGGTTATAGTTTCATATTAAAAATAATCCGAAGACTATTAAGCTCCGTATTTTCAACTGAAGATGCTAGATAGAGAATCAAATCTTGCTCCTCGACATCGTGCAAACATTTCCGCCTGATCGTTGTATATCTTCGTAGATCAATATTAGACGAAAGCAATAGCGATAAATAATCTCGAGCTGCAAAATTCTACAATCTTAATCCCTCGAAACTATAGAACTTTGTGAATAATGAAATGACACAATAGAATGACATCATCATTATAATCATCATTCCACATTTTGTACGCATCCGGCGATGAGGCGGATCTATTCGACAGTCGAGAGCATTTAATATTTGGGATAAGC